TAATAATACAGTCCAGACCCTGAGTTGAGGAAAGTGAACCCCCACTTCATGCAACCCGCCCCCCTCAGGCATGTTATGTCCCAGTTTTCTGCCTTCACTTAGCAGGGATTGTCATGAAGAAGCCCCCCCCCCCTATCCCATCCTCCTCCACTGACCTGCTGGTAGTTCTCATCTTCAGGCTGGAAGCTCTTGTCCGTGCCTTGAAATCTCAAGTTGATGTGAGGGAAATTGTGAAGCCAGTAAGTCCACCAGGGCGCGATGTAATCCACGCGGGGCAAAGACATCCTGACCCAGGGGCATTAAAAATAAAAAAAAGTTCCCTAATTAGGCTTTCAGTCAGTCCTGAAACGCGCGGGTCTTAATGAAGCCTCACATCAAACAAAGGCAGCATGCTCACAGATGAGTCCAACACAGGGGCGGAGGATAGAAAAGTCCAGCAGGGGCGGTGAGTTCAGGCACAGTGAGACCCGCGGAGGAGTTTTCTTTTCCTTTTCTTCCAAAAACAGAAATCCAGTCACTCTCCGCTCCTGTCCGAACCGAGCGAGGCTCGCTCTGTCGGCAGCGGGAGCGCGCACTGACAGACAGCAGGGGGTGCGCGGGAGCGCGCGCACGGGTTTGCGACCCGGTTTAGAGGAAATAATCTGTCAGCACTTTGTAAAGTAAAAACAAACAAAAACGCTCGATACACAAACACTAAACCACACAACTGTGTTGTAATGACGTGTTTACGGTTTTAGTCGCTCTTATTAGAACTTTGATACAGCACTGCCATCTAGTGGGTAAATAAGTTAATTACAAGTTTTAAAATGTCAGCAACTAAATCAGTTATTGATCAAATAAACTGATTTGTGTAGATAGGATGAACACATTTCTAAGCACTGAGGCTTCTCCATCACCAGTCTTTTTTATCATCTTTTATAAAAAGGTACTGAACTTAAGGCATTTTATTTCAACATTTTCATAAAAAAAAAAAGTGCATTCAGGTGCTTAAATTTGCCATTATTTTCAGATGAAAACAATATTTTCAATTAAGCTTCATTCAAAAGCCATTCTCAAACCTTAAACTCACTCACCTGCTTGATAGCCAAGCAGGTTCCAGGTGTCCAAACCCCAACACACACTGGTTTGAATGGTGATAAAGCTCCAGGAGGTAATTAAATCACTACATAGGAGCAGGAAACAAGTGAAACATGCAGGGCGTCACACCAGGTCCACGGTTAGAGACCCCTCAAATGTTTTACTGAACCAAGAACATTTTAAAAACTTAAAATCAGCCTCATGAGCTGCTCCTGCCTCACATGCAGGATGTTGACTGACTTTTTGCTGTTTTTACATACTGGGAGGCAGAACAGTAAACAAAACAGACAATGTTCATTTTTTTCCATTTTTATTAATTATCTGTACATCATGAATTTACTTCAGCTCCTTCACAGCCAGACCTGAAAAAAAAAAAAGACAAATATTCAAACATTTGAACAATTTTCCAAAGATATAATTCAACATTTTTGATATACGACCACCAATTTGTCAGGAATTTTACTAAATAAATTACATCTAATTAGTAGCAGCCACTACTGTGTGAAATTAAASCACAAGGCCACACAAAAACAGTAAAACGCATGTTTTCCTTTTAATGGCAAATCAAAGTCAGAAGCTATAATTTTATCTACGACGTCCCAAAAAGGGACAGCAGCAGCTCAAAGTTTAATTCTGATGACTGACCTGGAGGCAGGGACTGTTTGAGCTTCTCTGCCTTCTCCTTATCTGTGATGACCAGTGTGTACAGGAACCTGCTGCAGCGCACCTTGAACTTCACGTTGTCCTTGTTCTTCTTGATTTTTACGGCTGAAGAGGAAGAGAAACAAAATCAGTAAAATAACCACGAGACGTCAGCACTAGTTCTGCTACCGGGGGCTTCCAATATCCTAGGGAGTCAAAAATAACGAGGCCTTTCTCTTTTGACTGACGCCATTTTTAACCAACTGATCTGTGGTTTGTCTGAAGCCAATMATGCCCAGCAAGCATCATCTAATCTTTTTGCCTGCAAATCAAACCAATCAGCTCTAAACACTATTGTGACATCACAGATGTGCAGCCAATCCAATTCCCATCATATGAAATGTTTGGGTTGGACAGTTTATAGGAGGAAAAAACACGGTGTGCAGCAGCTGCATGGGGAGTTGGTGAAAAAACATTTTGGACTAAAAGGGCAAACTCTGCTGTAAAGAGTTTTGTTTGCTTCAGGACGACTGATTTTAGTGATGAAATGAAGAAAACTGGTTCTTGCTGAGCCACGAGCCAATTTGGATTACAAACTGGGTCATTAAAGAGGAAACGTTCTTCAAAAGTAAGTGAAAATGTTTTTATATCCTGCTGATTTACAAGTTATTTGGATAAAAATGCTTTGACAAAGCGAAGATTTACTCGCTTTTTGTTGTGTTTTGGTCTTGAGAGTGGGAGATGTGTGTGTGCACCAGCTGTGCTTCATCTAGCTGATTGTTGATAATTTACTGTATTTTAACAAAGCTGGATGATAGAGCGACTCCTTTGACAACAACCTTTCACAGGGATCATCTGTGAAGTCTGAGTAGAAGCATGTTGGTGTTTGAATATTGTGCAGTTTATTGGACATGATTGCAGAAGTTGTCTTTTTTGCTATTGTTAACCAAAATTGAACTGTAATAGCTGAGACTTGATGCTGTAACCTACATTTTTCTACCAATACATTTTACTTTCTTGTGGTACAATGTTCTTGTTTTTAGGGGTGTAAGAAAATATCGATACACTGAAATATCGCGATTATTTCCTGATACTGTATCGATATTCTAAAGCCCTGTATCGATTTTTTATTAAGGTTTAAAATGTCAACTTTCCTGCCAGCCTTCATTTTTATGTTGTAGTTCAGCCTCTGACCACTAGTTGGCAGCAGTGAGCCGGCTGGGTCAGAGCAGTGGTCAGAGGCTGAACTACAACATAAAAATGAATGACTAGTTGGCAGCAGTGAGCCAGCCATTTGGCTCCTCTACCTCTTGAGGAAGAGACCATTGTTAAGTGTTGGGTGACCATATTGTAAATTAATATTAAAAACTAAAAGCTGTCAAAAATATATTTTCAAACTATTTATTGTCAAATTTAGTCTAAGAATTGAAAACATGGATGAAATAAGAAATATGAAACAAATAAAATAAAAATACATACAAAGC